AATCAAGAAAGGATATTGAAGTTTATGAAGTGCAATATCAGCTAAGATGGGCTAGTCTAGAATCATTAAAGTTGGAACCCAACCGGCTACTATGTGGGTTATAGTGCTACCTGTTGTAGCAACAGCAATATCTTAAGCATCAAATGCAGCAACCTGCCTGTCCGCCACACTAAAGTGTCGTGTCTGTCATGCTTTTTCGGACAAATCATTGGGTAAAATAACTTTAATATTTCTACTGGCTGCGAAGGTGGTCCCGATTGGCCTAACAGCTGCCGAGCGCAGCGGGCGGCCCAAATCGGCACCTTCTGCAACCTATGGGCCCGCCTGAGCCACAATCTGCCAGCCTACCATGCGAGTAGTGAAGCAAGCCCGTGGCGAGCGGAACGGAGGCAAAACACAAGGAACGACATTCATTCTTACCCGCCGCGTAGCGGCGGCGCTCGGCTAGTAGACAATAGTCGCACGTCAATGTGCATAGATAAAAAAACATGAAGGTGTCTGAAGGGACAGATACATCCGGCCACAGCTTAAGTTTTGTCACGGTTTCGGTAGTTGTTTTACGAGGCCAAAAGGAACCTTATTTTTATAATGGAACTTAAGCCCTCAAAGTAGTCAGTAACCCCGTCCCCCAGAAACATGTACCCTGAGCGCGCTTCTCTTTGTCGTATCTTACGACCTTGACGTGTTACTATATATTTGGATGTAGTAGCCTTCCCACATGCGAATAGGAGTATTAGTTGTGAGCAGTTTTTGTTTAATCAATAGGGTAAGTTTGACACCGTTGCAGTCGTGTTCATGATCTCCGTGTCGTAACTTCCTACCATTTAAATCAAAATTGGCGAGAACTGATTTCAAATTGCCTCTTGAACCCAATCAGATGGAAAGTAGTGGGGCCAAAGGTGCATCAATTTAAGAAAATTTGCATTACGATTTAACGAGAGCTTACACTTCCCACCTGATACCCAGCTAGTACCTGCTCATGTCTACTTTTTCTTTTGTCGTCGCCGTCTTCACCTGCGCAGGAAAGGCGCCGCTATCGTCGCGTCTCCTTTCTAGCACCACCTGCTTCGTCAGGTCGGAGCAACACGATCCTTTTTCCGAATGTACATATGATCACTCGCCCACATTCGAAGGTGTCGTGCCAAATATCAAAGAAATTATTTACGACGCCCTTTTACTGACGACGGATCTTGTTGCAGAGCCGACACTTGGCGTCATCGACGAAGCAGCGCTCACAAATGTAGGTAGCCTCGAACGACTTCGCTTTTTGTCTGTGCCTAAGAGAGCACACACCTTGTGTGACCTGTGCCGTCGCGCTGGTGCATCACTAACAGTAACCAGCCTTCGATGTGCTCAACAGTGTGAGTAATTTGGACAGGCACCCTTCTGCGAGTCTGGCCGAAGGGCGGTGGTGTTGCAACGATGCCAGCACAGACCGGAGCCTTGAGCTAGAGAAGTTGATTCTGGAGGCCGCCTTATCACTCCCCACGTGTCATCGTCGTCACAACCGTAATTGACTCTGCCTTCTTGGGAGAATATCGGCATTTCACAGCGCCTATTTGTCAATAAAGCCTAAGAGCATGCTTTTGTAGTACTTGGCGAGCTTAGTTGAAGTCTATAACGATTACTTTTGAAGGCGGAGGTGATCCTGCACATCAACTCCGCCCATCCACCGCTGATAGTCGCTCACTGCTGCTGGGCATGACGCTATTACCGAACCTACTTGCATGACCTTCTTACCCAGATGTCGATTCTGCCATCGCAGCCCCAGTGGACAGGTGGTGCATGGGTTTGTGATCCCACCAGTGAGAAGGATTCATACTGGGCATGGCGACGGAGCAAGTGAACGTGAAGGGTCCTCGAGGGATTCGAGTAGAAATCATCTGGCGTTTTTCAATAATGTTTTTTGTCAAGACCCAAGCTTGTTTGTCATGATGGTTCCTATCACGTACACGCTCATACCAAGTAGCTCAATGGCAAGCACAACCGACAAGTAGAAGCGGTCCACTACGCCTGCGTGCCCCACAGGTCGACACTAGCACCAAACCCGATGTTTAACATTCTGATGACTGATGCAGCTCCGTTCTTATGATCAACTGCTGATTCACGCTCCTCACGACCATCCCGTTTGCCAGCATACATTTCAAATCTTAAAACTGACGACATAAAATGATAGACATGGGCTTCACAGGCGTAAGTTATCTCCTTTATCGAAGAAAACACTACACCCAGCAAGAAATCGCGATTTTATCATTTTCACGACAGATCGGAGCTTCCAGAGATTATCGTGCGCGCTCTGGACTGGTTGTTGACGAAGTGCAAATAGTGCGTACTATCTTGACACCGATTGCGCCTCAAACATTCCTGCTTGAACGGCGCCGTCTTCAACAATTGACTAGTGTGGAAGGCCGATGACGTGCAAGTTCTCGTGTGTTTGATATACCGGTTTCGATTTCCATCGTTTATGAATGTGCATCAGCGTCTCCCGCCGACAGTCCGAATGCTTTGCTTGGATCGCCTGCGCGAGTGGGCCAGCTTGCTGGAGAGTGTATCGGTTCGTCTCTTCGATGATCATGACCCACATTTATTTAGGACAGAGGTAGCGGCCGCTCCCTCCTTAGCACGCAATGTATTCTCTCGCTGCTTCACCGCATCCTTACCCAGTGCATCTTCGCCGACTTGAAGCGAAGCGACAAAAGCTTGATACACCTGCCCTTCATCGTCGAGGACATCCTCATTTTCACCACGGTCACCCACAATCCCTGCCGTTATTATCCTTGCCCTCTTCGACGAGACCACCGCCGTCACTTTCTCAGGTGCTGAAGTTTCCAGTGATTCACGTTCTCGGCGTCGGGAATGACATTGACGTCCTTCTTAGCTATGGATCGTGGGCGTTGCTCACGGTCCCTCGATCCAGCACGAGACGCTTGCTCGGCATCGCTGTCAACTCCAGACGCAGCAGACAGCTTCTGCAGACTGCTAGCCGCATCGTGCTGCGACGCATCGACTTGTCGATCACTCGACAGAATGTTAAGCATTCTAGCAGCTGCTGTTTGCGAGAGCTCGTCGTCCAACAGCCCGAACAGCGCGGTTAAATGGTTTTGTGAGAGCTAGGCGTAAGTGGCAATTTGCGACACTCATATGTCGTCTTCATCACGTACCCCTGGCTGGGCAAACTCGCCCTTGCCCTCTTTGCTCGCTATCGATACACCACTCTCTTCCACAATGATGTATCGGTCATCTCGCGCTCGTCCGTAGTGACCTCATCTTTCGCACCCTCACTCTCTTCAAGCCAACCGGACTCTAAGTGTAAACGACAACTGTATCATCATCTATAAGAGCATTAGATTGATCAGGACCACTGTATCTCCATCACCTATCTTAACCGCAAGGAGACTTCGACATCCAGCCCACCGCCTTCAATTCCCCAGAAATGTTCGAAATCGATATCGCTGACAACAGCAGTGACTACTTCGCTTTTCCTTCGGGTGCTTGAGCCATCCGGCAAAATCAGGAATGAGCTGTCGGCAACGTCTGCGACAATATCTGGTTCCGGGAAGGTCCAATCCCGCTGGTTTGCGAGCTGTCTTATTTTTGATATTTCCGCAATGCCTATTGAATTTAACGATTTCGAAAGTACTCTCGAGCCCTTTCTCCAGTTAAGCACAAACTATGTCGTAGGCTGCATTATTTTTGTTATCTCGTAATTTACAGAACCAAGGACCTGAAACTATTTAAACAAACCGTTTTATGTAGGCTTTGAAAGGCATTCAGTGCATGACTGATCGCACAGCACGACTAAATAGCATGAAGGGTGTATCACTTGGCTGTCCATTCCACGTTCTAACGACCTTGTAATACTGTAGTGATTTCCAGCCATTCGACGAATTAGTCTAAAGCAGCAGCAAAACATACTGGCCTTTCGAACAAGTAACGAGTGTGTTTCGAGAGCTTGTAAGCTTATTTATTACTTCGAAGTAAATGTAGAATATACTATATCGTACATCACCGCACATCAGTGAATCAAACGACTAATAGCACGCAATACCAATCTCAATTTTGACTTATGCTGTGTGTTTTTTTTCATTTTCTTTTTTAGAGCGCTTCGGGAGCAAGTTTTTTTTTACGTGCACTTTCCCTTTCTTTCTTTTAGGTCAGTTTGGGATTAGAACAGCGAAAATCAAGTCGATTGGAGCAGGTTCTGTTTTTATAACACCATCATCAGCGATGTGATTGGTCGGGCCACAACTTATGCTTTGCAGTGGGCCAGGACTTCGTTCGATGGTAATACAGTACAAGTATTGGGTTTCGCCAGGAATGCTCGTGACTACTGTATGTCGGGCCCGCCTCCCCAATTCCTCAGTTCTTGATCACTCGTCAGACGATTCCCCGACTTTATTTTTTTATTGTTTGAGCACTCGAATGGTCCATGTGGTAGCGTGCCGCTTTTATCGGCTGGGCTGCAGCGATGCCCACCCGCGGGAGAACACAGCGACCGTCAGGTAAGGCAGAAGAGACTTCCACGTGAAGAGTCCCCGGCAAAGCTTGCTTATCGAGATGTTATTACAGTAGCAGCCAGGTTCCATTAGATCCACGGAGGCAATGCGGCCGCGGGATTCACGTATTTGTGACGTTCTCGGAGGACGTTAGCGCGGCCCCTCTGGACGATCTGGTGCTGTGCACCCGCTTCGAGTCAGCTATCGATACATGTAATGAGCAGCAAGTGGACGCACGACTAGCAGAGGACAAAGGGGGACACGTATTTCGCACCGGCGAGATCGTTATCCTCCCCGATAATGTGCTGGAGGGTGGGGGTGGAGACGCTGCCTGGTCACGAGCCAGAAGAGTCAGTGATGCGAATATGCAGCACCTTTCAATGGTAAGAATTATGCGGAGTGATAGCTCGAAGTGACGTGTCACTAGAAATTTTTAACCACGTCGCTCATCATTACCACTCTGGTGTATCCCTGCAGTCGGCACAGAGGAAAACTGTATTGTTTATGGCTGACATGGACAAGAACTTCAGTGAGTCGTTGAGGGCTAACAACTGCGTCACACGCCTACAACAAGGTCGCCTCGTCGCCACCATCTTCTTACTTCGAGGTGTTCCGCACAACCACACCAACAAAACTTGGCAAACACACGCAGATATTTTGGGTCGCACGGCAGAATTGCTGTGGCGGCAAGTGTCCCCCAACTTCTCGCTCGATTGTTGCATTGAGCATTGCAACAACAGTGGAACAAAATCCGTTACTCCGCTTTCACACATTCGACCCCAAGAGGCTGGTACTCGACGTATTCCACGCCGTTCTGAAGACGTACAGTGTCCTACCAATGCCTTTGCCGTTGCTGATGCTGATTCTTCGTATGATAAGATTTCGACCGGTGCAGGAGCGTGGCAGCAAACGACGTTCGCGAACAGGATGGAATTCCGTGTTAAAAGTCAGCATCTGCTCATTCTATGGAAGTTTTTCACGGGTATCAAACTGAGGGACGTGATCTTCAGTGCAAACACTATCAGTATGTATCTGAGTGCACGCTTACAGCAAGCTGAAAGTGCCTCGAGAAGCCAATCAAGTTCACAGGTGGAGGACATAGCAGCTCTCTTCTTCCAAGACATTTTTGGTCACACATTTAACCCTCCACCCTGTGCAACGTCATCGTTTTACATGGGCCACGCTTTCCAGAGTACGACAATCCGAGTGACGGTCCATTTGTTCCTGCGCGTAATGTCGTCTCGAGCCGTTGTCAAACTCCTCCATGCTGCGCTTCAAGCGGGCAGAGATGCGACCAGTAAGCAGAAGCTCCAGGAGCTGTTTATCTCGCTAGTGGTGGATGTGTACGATGCGCTTAGCGTCATATTTAGCGAAGTGGTACCGACGTCTGATTTGGATGTTGAAGCAGGTCCGTCGATGTCATTGGCCACACTAGTAGATGACGCTATCTCGCTTCTTTACGGCCACAAACGCTTCGCTGGTTTGCAGCCAGAAATCTTGGGGCTGTTCAAGTGCCAACAAGATCCGCAACTTTTGACCGACGCTGTGAATGAAGTTTTCCATTTTTTTACAGCTCAAGTGCGAGAGACAATAATAGCGTCCGAGACAAAACAGTCCTGTATCGTACAGAGCCTACGTCCTGTTGGCTGTAATACAACACGCAGTAGTCAAAATCTACTGCAAAGTGGACATAAACTCCGTTGGCTGCTCGAGCCTGGGTCCGTACAAGTCCGTGATGTCTCTGGCCGAGACGTGCTCGGCGACATTAGAATTGCTGAAGTCGCTCAATTTGTCCGCGAGTTTGGGTGTTTTGACGCGGAAATTGGACAGAGTAACGAGACTTTGTCGATGGTTTCTGTGTTTTCTTTCTCGAACGATACACTTGTATCACCCATGAAGCTGGTGCTGGATGGACGCCTTCGGGTCTTCCGTGTCCTCCCCACTGGAGTGTCGTCTATGATCGCGACAGTGGGAGGATGGTCAATCGGCGACTACATGGGATCGTTGGAACACGATAAACAGGAAGTGGACGTCGACTTCTTCGCGTACAGAGAAGTGAGCACTAGGCCCCGAGTGCGTGGACAGTTGGCTGGTGATGGAGAAACAATGTTGCGGCGAATAAGTTTGGAGTTTTCTTTCGAAAATATTCAAGACAGCAGTACTACGTTCCTTGATGAAGCTTACTACCCGAGCAACGTTTGTGCGCACGTCAATGTAATGGTGTTCGGGTCGACGTACATGCAACCGGGGGCCCAGAAACTTTGTGAAGCTACAAGCGCTGAGCGTGGGAACATATGGCGCAGCATTGAGTGGAAACCGCTGATGAAGATACGAGCTGATATTTCGGGCTTCGATTGCTGATCAAACTTCACAGAAAAGACACTCGTTATTATGCGGCAACGTTCCTTCGAACTGTAGTGATGTGAGTCTAGGTGATAGTGCTCGTTGCCCACTCTTGGTTTTACGTACTTGTCAATATGTCAATATTATGCTATTCTACAATTCTTTAGGTGGACAATCTTTTTTTATCCATAATGCGTGGCGCTAGAAGGTTTTACATAACAAGCCAGTGTCTTCTCGCTAGAGCAGATCGCTTCTATATTTCAAGTGCTACATTCGAACTGCTACCAATAGATTCATCGCAAAGATCACCGGTACGGATGTCTTACTAGTCCCTTTTTGCAGGAAATGTCATCTTTGCACTACCGGACAAATATGAAAAGAAGTTTTAGTTTCGCAGGATATTTGAGAGGGTTTTAAGTTTTTTTTGCAGCTTGTACGTAAAATTCTGCACACGACATACCTTCTCGGGCTGCTCTGCTACAGTTGCATCCCAACAAATGGAGAAACGCCTGTTTCGGCAAGTGAAATGGCTTGTAACTTGCACGGCCATTTATATTTTTTGCTTGGACATCATCTGTGATCGAGATACATTCTCAGTCGCGGGGCACCGGAAAGAAATATGAAATGTGAGCAAGAGTCCCCATCTTTTTCTTAGTTATTATAAATTAAGGTGGTGCGTAAAACATAGCGTAACTTAGGTTGATATGTTTCTTTTAGAGCACTTGCACCTTCTGGATTTCGTAGCACTTTTAGCACTGCCAATGAGTTTTTACGAGCATTTTTCAGCTACGGGCGGGCAGCTTGTAGAGCTTAAGTGAACTAAGTAACACCTATATTCGTAAGAGTAGGCCGCCAACGAGTGTCTTCGTGCTGTATCGCCTCGTGCCTCTGTAAAAGAAAAAGAATGTTCGGTGTTGTTGATTTCACAAGTTCCATGACAATATGGGCGTATCTTGTGGCGATATTATCGATCGAATTCTCTCAAAAGTGATTACACTTGAAAGTATATGTACTGTAGGATAGATACCACCTCGCCGCTCACTAATTATATTTGAAAACGTCTTCACAAATCCATTTTGTCTTTGTTTGCTATGATACAATGAGTCTGCATTTTTTTGAGCTCGTCACATGGTAATAAATTTGACAAAATGATGAGGTGGACAATATTCCAGGCCAGCAAGAGCTGAGCAAGAAACATAAATTATTTCTGAGCCGTAATTCTGATTCTACATCTAGTCAATACTGTCAAGACGTGTGTAAAAGTTTTGTTATGGAATGTGTTCCAAATTTTGCATATGATACCCCCTTCTATTTCAAAGTATTAATGCAGATAACATACTCCACTGATAGACGATCACCAGCGAGGGCGGCAGGTGGTTTATAATTTATCATATGCAGCCCTTGACGGTAAATAATTTTAGATTCGCTACTGCCTTATGTATACGACATGTTCACTCAAATCACTCGGAGGTCCAGTCAAAGTCGGAAGGCATCAAACTTTACTCAAAATTACGGACAACTTTGGTCATTCTAGTTGCTAAATTCTACAACGATGCTCTAGGATTGATGAGCGTGCCAACACAACAGCGACGGGAGCTTCTTTATCGATTACGCGAGAGTTAGTGGGTTCCAGAGAAGATTTGCCCCTCCGCGTCCAAGGGGTTAAGCTCTGTGCCTATAATACTCGGGCTACTTTGAGGTCACGTCTAAACAATGATAACTCGGAAGGCACACGGCCTTACTTGGATTTAAGTATGACGCGAATTAGTACTGTTCATACCATACCTTGCTTCTCTTTTCAATAAAAAGCAATTAAAAAAAGCTTTTGATATTGCTGCTAAGTTGCAGACACAGATTTAGACTTTATTTTGCAGTATCGTCGCTCAGAACGAGATCCCATGACAAAAGATACTTGGAACCGAGTTCGTTGCACGATGATACAAGCAAACAAACTATGATCGCTATGATCTTGCTATCTGGAATATGAGCGTCAATTTAGCACTGCTTGCACATTTTTTATTGTAAAGGATAGGTACAGCTTCAGATACTTTCTGAGCACATCATGTGTCCTCTAGAATTAGTTTATCTTGATTCAGCAAGTCTGAAATCTTTTGCGCTCTTTTACCTATTGTAAAAACGACAAAAGGGCAATATAAATTGGATTGTGCGGTGAACAATGTTGCGTGAATGCGCAAAGTGACAAGAAAGTAAGGCATTTATAAAAAAATAACGTATCACAAATTACACAGAAACCGAGCTAGACTTCTTAAGAAACGAGCTTTCAGCTTCGTCTTCGGCGCCAATGAGGAAGATTCTATATGAGAGAGCGTCCAAGGAAAGAAATTCAAAATCACTTCCTCAAAATTAGGTTGTTTCACGTTCCGAAAATTCAGTACAAGTATGATATATGTAAGTCGTGTCAGTGTAGGTGCCATTTTGAAAGGAAAAGTATCAGAGATACGCTAGTAGTACACAAAAACTGTTGCTCCTAACTTTTATGCACAATAATGGGAGCTTTTCGTCGTACTCAGCTTCAAAATAGCGGCGTGGTTTCGCAAGGTTTTATAGTCTTTTGAAAAGCTGCCAAACTATGTTGCACAGCTTGTGTGCGCGGTCGTCAAAGGCTGAGTTCGTAGTGAATTTTACATGTAGCAGCTCTTGCAAATTTTACATCACAAAATTTTAAGTATTTCTGGGTTAGAACGATTCGACTGTATAATCCGAAGCCAAAGCTGCGCAAAACCTCAAAACTAACAAATAACTCCTGATATTACATTGCCACAGGATAGGCGTCCCCAATTTCCCGACGCAATACACCTAAAGAGATGAGAAAGAGGTGTAGTATCGACATAAATACGAAGTAGCAAATTATATTTACGCAATTAACGGCTTAGGTCCGTCGCATCATTAGTAAAAACAATTTTAGCGGCTGATTCAGTACTCCAGTCCGCAAGAGCTTACTTCGAAGTAGTCATTACCCTAGAAGTATCACATTTTGACGCGACCTTAACCAAAAGGAAGTGTCCCGTATATAGGGACTATCTTATTCTCTTCAAAAGCTAGACATACCAAAACAAAACACGCCTTGATAAGAGTGTTTTATTATTGTATTCTTCAGTTTAAATACTGCACATGTACTACAGCAGTAGTCTTCTCGCAGATGCCGTTAGAAGCGGACGGAGGCTCCATCGGGTATGGGAAGCTCATGCGGCATGACGTAGCTTAATGACATTCCCCACCGTGATATCCACGCAAGCGGCCCCAGCATGTACATTTCATGACAGGCCAATCGCTGAGCGCCGTTCTTGAGACGCGAGTACACCGCTACCCTACTCGGCTGGAGGACCAGCGTAGCCCAAAGCTCTCATTATTGCTGCACTCTTGTTTATTCTGGTTGCTGACTTCTGTCTCCATCGTTGCTTATACAGACTGAGAGGTCACTATTGTCCACAACGCGCACCCGCACCCTCGCTTTTTGTACCAATCCACAGCTCCCGCGTCTCCCCAAGTTCTTGTGTGTTGTGTATCCCAGTCCGCAGCGCACCCGCGTTACTTGTATTTGCGGAACGCGAATATTAGCTGAACGAATTGCTCTTAATACTAAATTTGTAAATTATATTCCTTAAATTTGAATGATACTTCGGTTACTTCACTCCCCACGGATTGTTGCTGCTGCCTTGGTGTTCAACTGGAGCATGTGCATCACCGATAAAGAATATTGGGCGGCAGTATTTAATTATGACGAAACCCTTCTTTCGACCCAGAAAGTCTGATATTTCTTCGTGTTCTTTACCGGCTGTAAACACTTCAATATAAAACAGGTCTTACAAAAATCGATCGCAAATCCTACACTAGTCAGTCTTCGGCGTCAGTACATGTACCAGCAAATAAGCTTCTAGCTAAGGTAAACAAATACCTGGATCATAATTCAAAATGTAACTTGGACTACATATTATTTTAAATGTATATTGTCCAAGTTCTAATACATTTCGAGTTTATTAAAATAGTCATGACTGCCTTAATGCACACGTTTTGGGCATTTAAGAACATGCAAGAATATGCACACTTAATATTGATAAAAGAGAGAAGTGGTACTGATACAACACTGTACTTCTACACTTATACTTGTATGGTTTAAGAGGTGCTAGGAGCTGTCCACAAACGTCTTCGTTTTGAGCACGATTCATGAAATAAATCGTTTTCAACGAAATATTCTGTCTAGGATTCCAGCAAGGGTATTACTTCAAAGACACTCAATTAGTAATATATCAGTAGAATCGCTTCTGATTGGATACTACATAATTGAGAAAAATTAGAACATTTTGTGCCTACGATTAACGATTCGTTAATCGTAGGCACATCGTTAATAACGATGCCGTTGCGCTAAGAACATCACGCAACTGTTCGATACTATTTAGTGTGCAGGTAGGCCTATAACGAGTCCGCTCTTAGTGTTATATATGTATGCACAGAAAATACTTGGCTGCTCTGCATTAGACACCTTACAAACCGCACAGCTATGATTGGACCCGCAGGTAGTGTACATACATGCCCTCTACGCTAGCATTATTATTTCACTCCCACTCAGAGGTCCACACCTGGTGGACGCACTTTTCCAGGAAGCTGCCTGCGAAGCTTCTCGAGTCATCCGTTTAGACATGTACTATGTACGTCTTATCCTCAAATGATGTGGTCCACGTCGAGTTTTATCCAGCAGTTTGCCTCGTCTTTCAGTTGGGAATCTGCTTCAAAGTGTTCAAGTCGCTTCGAACCGACACGAAACAATTGGGCCATGACGCTCATCCGCGACCGCTACCGTCCCGTACGGCAGCTTGCCCAGACAACGTACGGTGGTGTTTATCTCTGCAACGACGAGCTCCTACTTCCTCGTCGCGTGGTGCTTAAGAGCGTGTCTCTTGTGCATGCAATCAACATGTTGGACCAGCACAGCGATGAGCTGCAGGCGCCCGACGACCCACGACAAGAAAAAGCCTTTGCGAATCTGCAGCGCAGTGAGGCAGCTCCGCATTCAAACATTGTGCAGTACCTGGACGATTTCATTGAGGGCCACACCCTCTACTTTGTGCTCGAATACTGCGCCGGTGGGGACCTCGTGTCCGCTGTGAACCGTGGGCAGAATCGACGACTCGCTTGTGCTGATGCGTTGGCACGAGTCAAGCAAATAGCCACAGGCCTCGCTCATCTACACAGCCGCAGTATCGCCCACAGAGACTTGAGTCTCGAGAACGTGATGCTCAGTCGCGACGTGTGCAAAATCGGAGACTTTGGGTTGTCCACGAGGACAGATCAGCAGTGCTTTGGACGGGTGGGCAAGGCGTATTATATGGCACCCGAGGTGGTGGCGTCTCGAGCCGTGTACGACCCTAAGGCGGCCGACGTGTGGTCACTTGGTATAATTTTATTCATCCTCGTGACGGGGTCCCCGCTGGTGTCTCTGGCGACGGAGGAAGACGCAGCCTTCAGGGCGTTCCGGAAGGTCGGCGTGCGAGATGTGATGGAGGCGTGGCGTATGGACGATCTACTGGAGGGCAGCGCCATGCAACTGCTTCATGGGATGCTGCAGTGCGACCCGACTAAACGACTGACTATCGAGCAGGTGCTGAACCACGCGGCATTTACGCAGAGGAATCAAAGTGGAAATCCAAGTTCTTAAAGTCTAATTAATACTTGAAGTAGATGCTAATTAGTGTGGAAGAGAGGCTGTGCACCGTGGCTGTACTACAGTCTTGCTTCAGTGCTACGTGACATTTTTAATAGGAGGCTTCGTAGAGTGCAGACAGGTGCCACACTTCGAGCGACAATGTGGGGCGATGACCTTATGACTCTCACTCATTGCGCGATAAATGTGAAAAAAAAGTATCAGCATCCAGCGAATGAGCAAGTAGAAGCAGATTTTGAAAGAAAAATAGTACTCGATCCCTCGTTTTTTTTAAGTGAGGTTTATTTGCTGCCTCTTCGACTGAATATAATTATTTGGAAGACGGTTGTAGTAGCGTAATTGCTGGCTTTTCGAATGAAGTTTGATGCTTAGTTTTACTGTGACAAGAGAAACAAGGTAAATTCTACCAGCGGAATTAAGTATTGCAGTCCGCAAAATAAATAGGAAGAAACCGGTGGTCGAGGGAGACACTTTGGTTTACAAGCCTCCTGAAGTCTGCGCTCTTGCGTTTTAAGCTTGTTTAGGACTCGAATGTCTCACACGTACACGTTTATTGCGGAGCATTATCCGTTATTGCTGACAAGGGTGTCGCCAAATCGACTTCGTCTTAACGTTTCTTAATCACTCACCCTGGTCTGTTTACTATCATAATTCTTTTCGTCCCCTTGAGGCTCTTATTCTGCCAAAAGATAAATTGCGAAAAAGATTAAAGATTAACTCGATTGAGAGCTTGCAGATAAAAACAAAAAGCGTAGCTGAGCAATTTATTCTGACTTTATTTGGAATTTTGTCCATTGGACACGTCTCAGGTAATTTATGTTCCTTGTTCAATTCTTGCTTCCATTGTGCTATTGTCCACCTCGATTTATGACCATTTGAAGAATCCTAAAGGAATAGACTCACTCGATCCCAGCAAAAGTAAATTTTTAAACCTGCGTCCAAGATCATTTCTCTGTATAGCAACATAGGAAGGGTGATTGCTGATATCTGACTCCGTTATTTACATGCAGTTTTTTACTCTTTAATTTGATCTTACGAGCATTCTCCACAGACATACAATCCGGCAATCATCATTAAGTCGCTGTTATCTCCGAAGTAACCCTCTCACTTTTCTTAGTAGTCCTAAAACTGAGCAGGGTATGTCGACAATACTGCGACCAAATTGTCACATGTGAAATCGGCAGCAACAATTTTATTTTAATTTTTTTTTCAGTGGCACGAACCAATGCAGTCACGAATAGACTCGTTGACGGCCTACTCTTCCGAGGATAGGTGCTACTTAGATCACTAAAGCTCTACAAGCGTATATGATATTTCCTATCCATATCTGGACAGTGCTCGTAAAAACTCAATGGTAGTGTTAAAAGAGCTGCGTAATTCAAAAGGTGCGAGTGCTTTATGGTGTGGCATGAAGAGCAATCGATAAAGAAGTTCCCGTCGCTGTTGTGTTGGCACAGGTCATCAATCCTAGAGCATCGATGTCGAATTTAGCAACTAGAATTATCTAAGCTGTCCTTTATTTTGAGTAAAGCTTAGTGCCTTCCGACTAAACCGCTCCTTGACTGGACCTCCGAGTGATTTGTTGTATACAAAAGGCGGTAGCGAATCTAAAATTATTTAGTGTCAAGGGCTGCAGGTAATCTACTATAAATCACCTGCCGCCCTCATCAGTCGGGTATTTTATTTGCATTAATACTTTGAAATAGAAAAGAGGTATCATATGCAAAATTTGAAACACATTCCATAACAAAATTTTACACATGTCTTGACAGTATTGACTACATGTAAAATCAGAATTACGCGGCTGAACGGCTCAGAAATATTTTTATTTTTTTGCTCAGTTCTTGCTGGCCCATGGATTATTGTCCACCTCATCATTTTGTCAAATTTATTTCCATTTGACGAGTTCAGATCCATTGGATCCTAACGAAATGGATATGTGAAGGTGTTTCCAAGGATGATTAGTGAGCCGCGAGGTGGTATCTGTCCTTCAGTACATATACTTTCAAATGGAATCACTTTTGAGATGATGTGATCGACAATATTGCCACGAGATACGCCCAAATGGTTTTTTTTCTGTTAATACAGAGGCGCGAGCCGATACAGCACGAATACACTCGTTGGTGGCCTACTCTTACAAATATAGGTGTCACTTAGGTCACTTACGCTCTACAACTTGCCCGCCCGTAGCTGAAAAATGCTCGTAAAAACTCAATGGCAGAGCTAAAAAGTGCTACGCAATTCAGAAGGTGCAAGTGCTCAAAAAGAAACATATCAACCTAAGTTACGCTATGTTTTACGCACCACCTTAATTTTATAACAACTAAGAAAAGATGGGGACTCTTGCTCACATTTCATATCTCTTTCCGGTGCTCCGCGACTGAGAATGTATCGGGATTTCCTTCGATCACAGATGATGTCCAAGCAAAAAATATAAATGGCCTGCAATTTACAAGCCATTTCACTTGCCGAAACAGGCGTTTCTCCATTTGTTGGGATGCAACTGTAGCAGAGCAGCCCGAGAAGGTATGTCGTGTGCAGAATTTTACGTACAAGCTGCAAAAAAACTTTAAAACCCTCTCAAATATCCTGCGAAACTTAAACTTCTTTTTATATTTGTCCGGTAGTGCAAAGATGACATTTCCTGCAAAAAGGGACTAGTAAGACATCCGTACCGGTGATCTTTGCGATGAATCTATTGGTAGCAGTTCGAATGTAGCACTTGAAATATAGAAGCGATCTGCTCTAGCGATAAGACACTGGCTTGTTATGTAAAACCTTCTAGCGCCACGCATTATGGATAAAAAAAGATTGTCCACCTAAAGAATTGTAGAATAGCATAATATTGACATATTGACAAGTACGTAAAACCAAGAGTGGGCAACGAGCACTATCACCTAGACTCACATCACTACAGTTCGAAGGAACGTTGCCGCATAATAACGAGTGTCTTTTCTGTGAAGTTTGATCAGCAATCGAAGCCCGAAATATCAGCTCGTATCTTCATCAGCGGTTTCCACTCAATGCTGCGCCATATGTTCCCACGCTCAGCGCTTGTAGCTTCACAAAGTTTCTGGGCCCCCGGTTGCATGTACGTCGACCCGAACACCATTACATTGACGTGCGCACAAACGTTGCTCGGGTAGTAAGCTTCATCAAGGAACGTAGTACTGCTGTCTTGAATATTTTCGAAAGAAAACTCCAAACTTATTCGCCGCAACATTGTTTCTCCATCACCAGCCAACTGTCCACGCACTCGGGGCCTAGTGCTCACTTCTCTGTACGCGAAGAAGTCGACGTCCACTTCCTGTTTATCGTGTTCCAACGATCCCATGTAGTCGCCGATTGACCATCCTCCCACTGTCGCGATCATAGACGACACTCCAGTGGGGAGGACACGGAAGACCCGAAGGCGTCCATCCAGCACCAGCTTCATGGGTGATACAAGTGTATCGTTCGAGAAAGAAAACACAGAAACCATCGACAAAGTCTCGTTACTCTGTCCAATTTCCGCGTCAAAACACCCAAACTCGCGGACAAATTGAGCGACTTCAGCAATTCTAATGTCGCCGAGCACGTCTCGGCCAGAGACATCACGGACTTGTACGGACCCAGGCTCGAGCAGCCAACGGAGTTTATGTCCACTTTGCAGTAGATTTTGACTACTGCGTGTTGTATTACAGCCAACAGGACGTAGGCTCTGTACGATACAGGACTGTTTTGTCTCGGACGCTATTATTGTCTCTCGCACTTGAGCTGTAAAAAAATGGAAAACTTCATTCACAGCGTCGGTCAAAAGTTGCGGATCTTGTTGGCACTTGAACAGCCCCAAGATTTCTGGCTGCAAACCAGCGAAGCGTTTGTGGCCGTAAAGAAGCGAGATAGCGTCATCTACTAATGTGGCCAATGACATCGACGGACCTGCTTCAACATCCAAATCAGACGTCGGTACCACTTCGCTAAATATGACGCTAAGCGCATCGTACACATCCACCACTAGCGAGATAAACAGCTCCTGGAGCTTCTGCTTACTGGTCGCATCTCTGCCCGCTTGAAGCGCAGCATGGAGGAGTTTGACAACGGCTCGAGACGACATTACGCGCAGGAACAAATGGACCGTCACTCGGATTGTCGTACTCTGGAAAGCGTGGCCCATGTAAAACGATGACGTTGCACAGGGTGGAGGGTTAAATGTGTGACCAAAAATGTCTTGGAAGAAGAGAGCTGCTATGTCCTCCACCTGTGAACTTGATTGGCTTCTCGAGGCACTTTCAGCTTGCTGTAAGCGTGCACTCAGATACATACTGATAGTGTTTGCACTGAAGATCACGTCCCTCAGTTTGATACCCGTGAAAAACTTCCATAGAATGAGCAGATGCTGACTTTTAACACGGAATTCCATCCTGTTCGCGAACGTCGTTTGCTGCCACGCTCCTGCACCGGTCGAAATCTTATCATACGAAGAATCAGCATCAGCAACGGCAAAGGCATTGGTAGGACACTGTACGTCTTCAGAACGGCGTGGAATACGTCGAGTACCAGCCTCTTGGGGTCGAATGTGTGAAAGCGGAGTAACGGATTTTGTTCCACTGTTGTTGCAATGCTCAATGCAACAATCGAGCGAGAAGTTGGGGGACACTTGCCGCCACAGCAATTCTGCCGTGCGACCCAAAATATCTGCGTGTGTTTGCCAAGTTTTGTTGGTGTGGTTGTGCGGAACACCTCGAAGTAAGAAGATGGTGGCGACGAGGCGACCTTGTTGTAGGCGTGTGACGCAGCTGTTAGCCCTCAACGACTCACTGAAGTTCTTGTCCATGTCAACCATAAACAATACAGTTTTCCTCTGTGCCGACTGCAGGGATACACCAGAGTGGTAATGATGAGCGACGTGGTTAAAAATTTCTAGTGACACGTCACTTCGAGCTATCACTCCGCATTATTCTTACCATTGAAAGGTGCTGCATATTCGCATCGCTGACTCTTCTGGCTCGTGA